ATGGAGGTAGGTTGGGAGGCTGGACAGGAATTGGCCATATTAATCAGCAGGTGAGATGTGGTGAGGCCAATAGATTCCGGTCATAGGCAGCAAGGAGGTAATACCAGAATATGTTTGTGGAACTACAAGAGACAGAGCAGCCTTCCACGTTTGTGAACCACAAGTGGCAGAATAGCCCCACTGCTGGTCTGTGGAACCGCAAGTGCCAGATCAGCTGCAAAGCTGACCTGCGACAATCTGCGTTCAGAGACTGAAGTTGGGTATCTGCCTAATTTATTTTGTGGCAGTGGAATGTCTGCCACTTTATTGTCTACCCTACACACAGGGCAGCTGTTAGAAACCATGGGGCCCCATACAGCCAACCTGATAGGGCCCCCCTAAAAAAAAACAGTTTACTAGGCTTCAGTTAAGAATGAACACAGCGAGTGACCGGTCTTGATCACTCATTGTGTTCATTCAGGAAAGAAAAGGGGCTAGCAAATGTGACATATTTACTGGACCTTTCTCCCGCTCTCCATCCTGAAGGATCCTATTGTGTGTTTGCAGCTGCTGGTGGAAAGGAGGGAGGCCGGCAGCACTGTGGGGGTGGGGGGCACACAGGGGGACCTGGGCAGCAGGGGAGGGTGATGGGTACAGATTTGATCTGATGCATGGCTCTCCCTGCAGCAATTACTGGAACTGATCCCCTGTATGGCTCTCCCTGCAGCAACTGAAAGCCAGTGGGAGTGAGAAGAGAAGAAGCCAGCTTTCAGCTGCTGTAGAGAGATAATAATAGCAGTGTGGTGAAAAAAGTGAATAAAGCTGAAAATCCTTCTAATAGCTTTTATTTCCATCCACACAAATGCATTGGGAACACGACACATTCTATTCCAAATCACAACATGAAGAAAAATACATCAAATTTGTGTTGTTCCTTTAAAAAAATTGAAGAAAAGTGAATATTAGACGGTTCAAAAAAATCGCAGTGTTTGTATTCTTCTTTACAAACTCAAACATTCACTATATAAACTGAGAAATGTTTGAAGATTTTGCTTTCCTTTGAATGACTTCATGAATATTTGGTTGTAGTCGCACTGTTTCTGAGAACTGCTGTACATCTGTGTTGCATGGAGTCACCCAACTTCTGGCCCCTGTGATCAGGTATTCCAGCCCAGGATGATTGGACTACATTCCACAGTTCTTCTCTATTTCTTGGTTTTTGCCTCAGAAACTGCATTTTTGATGTCACCCCACAAGTTTTCTATTGGATTAAGATCCGGGGATTGGGCTGGCCACTCCGTAACGTCCATCTTGTTGGTCTGGAACCAAGATGTTGCACGTTTACTGGTGTGTTTGGGGTCGTTGTCTTGTTGGAACACCCATTTCAAGGGCATTTCCTCTTCAGCATAAGGCAGCATGACCTCTTCAAGTATTCTGATGTATTCAAACTGATCCATGATCCCTGGTGTGCGATAAATAGGCCCAACACCGTAGTATGAGAAACATCCCCATATCATGATGCTTGCACCACCATGCTTCACGGTCTTCACAGTGTACTGTGGCTTGAATTCAGTGTTTGGGGGTCGTCTGACAAACCGTCTCCGCCCACTAGACCCAAAAAGAACAATCTTACTTTCATCAGTCCACAAAATGTTGCGCCATTTCTCTTTAGGCCAGTCAATGTGCTCTTTGGCAGATTGTATCCTCTTCAGCACGTCTTTTTCCCAACAGTGGGACTTTGCGGGGACTTCTTGCAGATAGCTTGGCTTCACATCGGCGTCTTCTAATTGTAACAGTCCTCACAGGGAACGCCACCCATTTTCCTCAGAATTTCAGAGAGAAATGCACTGTAACCAACATGTACAACATTTGCTGCCTTCCTTCCTTAAATAAGGGCAATAATTGCCACCTGTTTTTCAAAGAATGAATGACCTCACTAATAGAACTCCACACGGCTATTATTTTGAACACGCCCCTTTCAATGAGTGATTCAATGACACAGAATCAGCAGCATGCATGTCATGACTGTTGGGTCTGTTGGATTTCTATTACTCTACTACACCTGCTAGGAAATTATTTGCCATGTAGAAATATCATTTCTACCAAAAACAGTGATTGATCCGGTTAGTGATGTCTGACTGCTAATATTTTGAACACAACTGTACATAGTTAGTCTGGCTGAAAAAAGACAAAAGTCCATCCAGTTCAACCATTAAAATTTTTTTTATAATCCTACACCCCCACAGTTGATCCAGAGGAAGGCAAAAAATCCCAGCAAAGCACGATCCAATTTGCTCCTGCAGGGAAAAAAATTCCTTCCTGATCCCCCGAGAGGTGATCAGATATTCCCTGGATCAACTTATGCTGATCAGCCAACGTTTTCCCGGAAACTCTATACGCCTCTATAACCTTTGATACTGGACCTCGCGACACGGCGAATAAATCGGCGACTTCAGTCACAGAGGCGCCAGCTAAGTGGCACCAACAATTTGCCCTCTTTGAAGCTCAGTAAGCTCTGACATGACTCCGTATTACTAGCAGCGAGGCTTCCCACCTGTTAGCTAGGTGTCTCATCACACAGCAGAAGCAAAAGAGTGTTACATCACTTCCGCTTTTGACGCCAAGCACGCTGTCACTTTCATACCTGCAAACAGGGGTGGACTGACAACTCATGGGGCCCCTGGGCAATAGGGGATCATGGGGCCCCTGTGTCCTTGCCCAAACTCAAAAAAGCCTATGAAAAAAGTACCAGGGGCATCTCATGGGGCCCCCTACTGACCCCGGGCCCTCGGGCACTGCCCGAGTTTCCAAATGGTCAGTCCGCCCCTGCCTGCAAATCATGTGGTGTTTCCATTTTTTTGTCTAACCCCTATATAGTATATATAAAAAAAAGTATCGAAAACCGCCACTAGGTGGTGACATCAGGGGGCGAAAGGCACATCTGGGGAAAGCGTTGGAATTTTACAGACTTCCCCATTTAATTTATTTGTTTTCACACACCTTGCACCCAGGAGATTTGAAGTCATTTGCAGCTCGAATTCTATTCCGCTAATTACGCACAACGCTCAGGTGAAATCTGACTGATTAGCGGATTTTATTGATGCCGGGAACTGACACGAGCGCCTCTGCAAATCAATCTTCATTACCATGGAAAAACATTGTGCGTGGAAGTCGATGGGCTCTTGTAAGGGTGACCCCTGTTTATACAAAGGACAATCTGAAGCAGGGGTGGACTGACAACTTATGGGGCCCCCGGGCAATAGGGGATCATGGGGCCCCTGTGTGTCCTTGCCCAAACTCAAAAAAGCCTATGAAAAAGGTACCAGGGGCATCTCATGGGGCCCCCTACTGACCCCGGGCCCTCGGGCAGTGCCCAAGTTTCCAAATGGTCAGTCCGCCCCTGATCTGAAGGTTGTCATGGTGAGGTGTTCCAAAAAAAGGAGTCATTTGGGGGGGGGGGGTGTTAATGTCCTGGCATTTTTATTTGATATGTTTTATATTAGTAAGTAAAGGAAACTTTTTTTACGCCTCTTTTACACGGGCGTTCCATATGTCCGTTTTTCATCTGTCAATTTGAAAAACAGAAACCCATGTATTTCTATGGACTATCGGATGTAAACGGATGGTCATCTGTTTACATCCATTAATGTCTGCATCTGTTCACATCTGTTTTTTTGAACGGAAGAAAACCCCTAATTTTTCTTGCGTTAAAAAAAAAATGTAACGGACGAAAAATGGATTTAAACGGACAAAAAAACAGATGTAGATGGATGAAAAAAGATATGTAAACGGACGGAAAACAGATGAAAAACAGATGTAAACTGATGAAATATGGATGAAAAATTGATGAATAATGGATGTAAACGGACAAAAAAAAAAACAGATGTAGATGGAAAAAAAGAGATGTAAACGGACGTAAAAAGGATGAAAACAGATGAAAAGTAGATGAAAGAGGATGAAAACAGATGTAAACTGATGAAAAACGGATGTAAACGGATGTAGATTGACAAAAAAAGAGGCGTAAATGGACGGAAAAAAACAGATGTAAACTGATGAAAAAAACGATGAAAAGTGGATGAATAACTGATGTAAACTGATGAAAACAGATTTAAATGGACAAAAACAGATGTAAAGGGATGTAAATGGACAAAAAAAAGATGTAAACGGTTGAAAAACTGATGAAAATGGATGTAAACTGATGAAAAACAGATGTAAACGGACAAAAAAGAGATGAAAACTGATGAAAAACGGATAAAAACATGGATGTAAACTGATGAAAAACAAATGAATAACGGATGTAAACTGATGAAAAAACGGATGTAAAGTGATGTAAATGGACAAAAAGAAGAGATGTAAACGGACGAAAAATTGATGTAAATTGATGAAAAAACTGATGTGAACTGATGAAAAACTGATGTGAACTGATGAAAAAACTAATGTAAACAGACAAAAAACGGAAGTAAACGGATGTAGACAGACAAAAAAAGATGTAAACAGACAAAAACGGCTGAAAACGGAAGTAAACGGATGAAAAACTGATGTAAACTGATGAGAAACAGATGTAAACGGATGAAAAACTGATGTAAATGAATGAATAATGGATGTAAAATTATGAAAAACAAATGTAAATGGACAAAAACGGATGTAAAGGGATGTAAATGGACAAAAAAAAGATGTAAACGGACGAAAAACGGATGTAAACTGATGAAAAACTGATGAAAAGTGGATGAATAATGGATGTAAACTGATGAAAAACGGATGTAAATGGCCAAAAAAAGAGATGTAAACGGACAAAAAACTGATGAAAACGGATGTAAACAGATAAAAAACGGATGTAAACTGATGAAAAACTGATGAATAATGGATGTAAAATGATGAAGAACGAATGTAAACGGACAAAAATGGATGTAAAGGGATGTAAATGGACAAAAAAAAAAGACGTAAACGGACAAAAACCGGATGTAAACTATTGACAAACTGATGAAAAGTGGATGAATAATGGATGTAAACTAATGAAAAATGGATGTAAACGGACAAAAACAGATGTAAAGGGATGTAAATGGACAAAAAAGAAATGGAAACGGACAAAAAAAAACTGATGAAAACGGATGTAAAAAAAACGGATGATGAAAAGATGTAAACTGATGAAAAACGGATGAAAAACGGATGTAAACTGATAAAAATAGATGTAAACGGACAAAAATGGAAGTAAACGGATAAAAAAAGAGATGTAAACAGACAAAAAACGGATGTAAATGGATGAAAAACGGATAAATAATGGATGTAAACGTACAAAAATGGATGTAAAGTGATGGAAATGGACAAAAAACAGATGACTGAACTGATGAAAAAAAAAAGTAACGCCCGTGTGAAATGGGCCTTACTTCAAAAAAATTTAGACTGTTTTCTTTTAGGCCTCCTTCACACGGGTGGGTGTTCTGCTGCTTGTAAACACATGTGGGTTTTTTTTTTTTTAATTTTGGATAAAACGTGTTGCGGCTGCATTTCGCTGCGGTAGTAAATTCTTGCCTTCTCTAATGCAACTGTTTATTTTGTTCTCCTTGCGCTGCGATGAACTGCGTTTATGTACAGATGGCCGCGGTACATCGCTCCTGGACGCTGTCAACTTCATTTTTCCTAAATGCATAAAACCGCATGTTGTGAAAACGCTGCTAAACGCACTGTGTGAACAGAGCCATAGGGATGCATTATCTGCATTTAGATGCGGTAAAAGAGTTCCTCTAAACGCAGCTAAAAGCTGAAATCTTACCGCCCGTGTGAACGGGGCCTTATAGTAAAGTAACAACAACAGCGGTGATTAAATGCCGCCTAGAGAAAGCTCCGCCTGCCGCAAAAGAAAGATAGAAAATTCATTTTGGGCTTCAGTGTTGCGTGGCGGAGTAGTTGTCAGTCAAAGAATCACAGCGGTAATAAAGAGGTGTATACAGGCTGGTACTGAAGGGATGTATACAGGCTGGTACTGAAGGGATGTATACAGGCTGGTACTGAAGGGATGTATACAGGCTGGTACAGAAGGGGCGTATACAGGCTGGTACTGAAGGGATGTATACAGGCTGGTACTGAAGGGCGTATACAGGCTGGTACTGAAGGGATGTATACAGGCTGGTACTGAAGGAATGTATACAGGCTGGTACTGAAGGGGACGTATACAGGCTGGTACTGAAGGGGACGTATACAGGCTGGTACTGAAGGGCATATACAGGCTGGTACTGAAAGGCGTATATAGGCTGGTACTGAAGGGGACGTATACAGGCTGGTACTGAAATGTGTATACAGGCTGGTACTGAAGGGGCATATACAGGCTGGTACTGAAGGAGCGTATACAGGCTGGTACTGAAGGGCGTATACAGGCTGGTACTGAAGGAATGTATACAGGCTGGTACTGAAGGGCGTATACAGGCTGGTACTGAAGGGCGTATACAGGCTGGTACTGAAGGGATGTATACAGGCTGGTACTGAAGGGGCGTATACAGGCTGGTACTGAAGGGGCGTATACAGGCTGGTACTGAAGGTTCGTATACAGGCTGGTACTGAAGGGGCGTATACAAGCTGGTACTGAAGGGGCGTATACAGGCTGGTACTGAAGGAATGTATACAGGCTGGTACTGAAGGGCGTATACAGGCTGGTACTGAAGGGCGTATACAGGCTGGTACTGAAGGGATGTATACAGGCTGGTACTGAAGGGGCGTATACAGGCTGGTACTGAAGGGGCGTATACAGGCTGGTACTGAAGGTTCGTATACAGGCTGGTACTGAAGGGGCGTATACAGGCTGGTACTGAAGGGGCGTTATACAGGCTGGTACTGAAGGAATGTATACAGGCTGGTACTGAAGGGCGTATACAGGCTGGTACTGAAGGGCGTATACAGGCTGGTACTGAAGGGGCGTATACAGGCTGGTACTGAAGGGGCGTATACAGGCTGGTACTGAAGGGGCGTATACAGGCTGGTACTGAAGGGGCGTATACAGGCTGGTACTGAAGGGGCGTATACAGGCTGGCACTGAAGGGGCGTATACAGGCTGGTACTGAAGGGGGGATGTATACAGGCTGGTACTGAAAGGCGTATACAGGCTGGTACTGAAAGGCGTATACAGGCTGGTACTGAAGGGCGTATACAGGCTGGTACTGAAGGGGCGTATACAGGCTGGTACTGAAGGGCGTATACAGGTGGTACTGAAGGGCGTATACAGGCTGGTACTGAAGGGGTGTATACAGGCTGGTACTGAAGGGGCGTATACAGGCTGGTACTGAAGGTACCTCAGGGGGTAGGAACAGAGATAGCTACTCCTTGCTGCACCAGGTGAGCACAGACAAACACACGTGAGGAATCAAGAGCAGCAAGGAGTATCTCTGTTCCTACCCCCTGGGGGAGTTCATTAGCCCACAGACCGCCCCCCAGGACGGATCAATACTTCATAGTGGAGATCTGCATACTTAAAAAGACACAACAGGTCTTGGAAAGGGGACCCCTAAAGGACGAGGATCCTCTACCGGGTGTCGGCAACCCGTGGCTCCGGAGCCGCATGCGGCTCTTTTGCACCTTTCCTGCGGCTCCGGAGCACACTGCCCACCAGGTGACAGGCAATAGGGTCGGCAAGCCGCGGCTCTTTTAATGCAGCTCTTCTGTGTGCCGGGCGCCCGCTGGCAAACATTGGCTGTCAGGATGTAGGCGGGGCAGCCCGGATGTAGGCGGGGGCAGTGTGACGAACTCCTCTCCTCTCACAGTCCGCCCTGAAGACCAGAACGGCGCGGGAACCCAGCGAGAGGAACGCGCGGAGCAAAGGTAAGTGAATTCACACAATATGGGGAATGAATTACTATAGGGGGGATGAATTACTATAGGGGGGATGAATTACTATAGGGGGGATGAATTACTATATGGGGGATGAATTACTATGGGGGATGAATTACTATATGGGGGATGAATTACTATATGGGGGATGAATTACTATGTGGGGGATGAATTACTATGGGGGATGAATTACTATATGGGGGATGAATTACTATGGGGGATGAATTACTATATGGGGGGATGAATTACTATGTGGGGGATGAATTACTATGGGGGATGAATTACTATATGGGGGATGAATTACTATATGGGGGATGAATTACTATGGGGGATGAATTACTATATGGGGGATGTATTTTCAGTTTTAAAAATGTTTCTCTCAAAATAAATTTCAATCGTGGTTTTGGCGAGATTTGGCTCAGTCAAAAAAAAAAGGTTGCCCACCACTGACCTAAGGCTATGATTGTGATTATGACGATACACTGTGGCCCTGATTAACCCTTTGCTTACTGGGCCCTTAAACCCCCTTCATGACCAGAGTGTTTTTTGCAATATATGCAGTGTCGGATTTGTTTTAAATGTTGCAATGGTTTTGCGGCTCCCAGTCTTTTTTTCCCTCTCGGAAACGGGTCCAAGTGGCTCTTTATGTCTTAAAGGTTGCAGACCCCTGCTCTACACCAACCAACTTCATAGGATCCATTTTGATGACCCACCATCCCTTAGAGGGAGGACCACCCATCTCCTGACCTTCTCTATATCTGATGACATCTGGATTATTTACATAAGGTGCAATAATATGCGCGTCTGGTGAGTGCGCATTACCTTATTACTATTTGCACTGGTACCGGGTCCAGAGTCACCGAAGCACGAGAGTCACTTTATCTTGTTTATATTATCTACATATCGGAATTTACTTAACCACTTCCAGTCCGGACACTTTCACCCCCTTCCAGTCCGGACACTTTCACCCCCTTCCAGTCCGGACACTTTCACCCCCTTCCAGTCCGACACTTTCACCCCCTTCCTCACCGGACACTTTCCCCCCCTTCCAGTCCGGACACTTTCACCCCCTTCCAGTCCGGACACTTTCCCCCCTTCCTGTCCGGACACTTTCACCCCCTTCCAGTCCGGACACTTTCACCCCCTTCCAGTCCAGACACTTTCACCCCCTTCCAGTCCGGACACTTTCCCCCCCCCTTCCTGTCCGGACACTTTCACCCCCTTCCAGTCCGGACACTTTCACCCCCTTCCAGTCCAGACACTTTCACCCCCTTCCAGTCCTAACACTTTCACCCCCTTCCTGTCCGGACACTTTCACCCCCTTCCAGTCCAGACGCTTTCACCCCCTTCCAGTCCAGACACTTTCACCCCCCTTCCAGTCCGGACACTTTCCCCCCTTCCAGTCCGGATACTTTTACCCCCTTCCAGTCCGGATACTTTCCCCCCCTTCCTGTCCGGACACTTTCACCCCCTTCCTGTCCGGACACTTTCACCCCCTTCCAGTGCAGACACTTTCCCCCCCTTCCTGTCCGGACACTTTCACCCCCTTCCAGTCCGGACACTTTCACCCCCTTCCAGTGCAGACACTTTCACCCCCTTCCAGTCCGGACACTTTCACCTCCTTCCAGTCCGGACACTTTCACCCCCTTCCTGTCCAGGGCAATTTTCAGCTTTCAGCGCTATCACACTTTGAATGACAATTGCGCGGTCATGCAACACTGTACCCATATGAATTTTTTACCATTTTTTTGAGACAGATAAAGCTTTATTTTGGTGGTATTTATTCACCGCTGGGATTTTTATTTTTTTTGCTTTATAAATAAAAAAGTCCAAAGATTTTGAAAAAAAATGTTTTTCTTATAAAATTTTGCAAATAAATAATATTTCATCATAAATCTTGGCCAAAAATTGATTCCGTTATCTTTTTAGTAAAAAAAAAAAATACGCCAATTTTATTTTTACATTTTTATTTTAGTTTTTTTATATTATTATTTATATATATATATATATATATATATATATATATATATTTTTTTTTTTTTTTTACATACCGTCACCCTAGCAGTAGTGACACTGTACTACTTGTGGGGGGTGATGAAGATTTTTTTTTTTTTTTTACAGTGATTGCTTTTACACCCATATAGGATGTAAAAGCAATCATTTCTCTTTCTCTCTGTCTGCATTCTTGCAGCCATTGAGAAATACTGAGTGAGCTGTAATTGGTCAGAGCTTGTCACATGGTACAAGGCTGTTGTGAATAGCCCTGTACCATGTGACCTCTGTGATCATTCACAGATTTCACACGTAGTAAGCAATGATGT